ATATATTTGAAATACTGCATGTGGTATCAGGCGAGATCAAAGCAGACCAGCACTGTGCCTTCGCGTAAGCAGATTGGGTGGGGCTGAAGCGTTCTCCGTATTTTAGTGTGTGCGAGTGAGTGAGTCATGACGCGTTAGATTGACGAGAGGACGTTACGAGGCGATACTGTATTATCGACCGCCGTCATTGGCTTGATGGTTTGCCACACGACGTAGAGCTATCCCGCAGTTCACTAAAAGTTTCCTGCTTGTTGGGTAGAGCAAGCACTGATTCCCTGTACCCACAGTCTAAGGTGGGAAGTTTAGTTTCTTCTACTGGTTACATTCGCACCCCCAAAGGACCTATACAGCCCTGGGTTCGCCTCGAGGGCTTTCTCGTAAACGCTGTCTAGACTTGATGGCGAATTCAAGCTTTCTAAATATGTGTTCTATGTCGAAATTGTCAATTCATGCAGCTTTGTTTGCTTTTTACCTAAGCCAAAGTTTTTCTTATGGTTTCAAACTATATAGTAATTTTATAACCATTGGACTTGTCCGACGAGACCGATATGTCTATTGCGATATAATTCACTATATATCCATTGTCGAAAAGTGAGTGAAATGCTATAAAGCTTCACTATGATTTGTGTGTGATCAAAAATATTTTCTCCGAACCGCGAGCTGATGGTGTCTCACCTGTCGGCTTAAAGATAGGACACGCAGTCACTTAGTCAAACGTATCTCTATTTACCATTATGTAATTAGTTTGATTGCCTAAAGAAAAGATTTGATTTATGCTCGAGTCGTTCAACTAGAATTAATTAATTCGTCTATTTATATAAATAATTTATTTGGAAAACTTAGTTACCCCATGGAAGGCGTTTTATAGATTAATCAACTAAGAACAAATTATATACTGAAACGGTTATATAGATGTTATATTTCATTGAGTTTCTTTTTGTCGTCTTGCAGGCGAGTGACTCCGTACTGTCAATGGATTGTAGCCAAAGTGTCATTTGTAACACGTCGATCAACAATCAACCTTGCGATAGCTGAACTCAAAGTCATTTGGAATTCTGGCCATCATTCGAGTTAGGAAGGTGTCGCTTGCAGTATAAATAACCGGACTGGCTGACAGGACGAATCAAGCACGGGCAACACGTGGAGAAACAAGAAGGAAAAGATCGGAACAGACAGACACACGTAATAGCGGCAGACAGTGCAGTACGGTGATCGTGGCATATACCTTGGCGCACCTCCACGTTGTTCACCGTTCTTGTAATTTACGAGAGCATTTGCAATAAAGATTTCCCTGGCGCAGCGATCCTTTGTCTTTGGCTGCATGGCTGGTGTTTATATGTGTCGCATCAGGCGTATGACTTCGCGATCTGTCAGTTGTGCACATGTTCGGCATTTCCTCGAACAGCCCGTGAATTTAGTGACAGAAATACCCACAAAAGCGTATAAATAGACAAACACAGATTTCCAGGAAAGGAGAAAAAGAAACGACAGTAGAAGCAATTGCGACAGCAGCGGCAGTCTGTTGTTACTCAGTCAGCGGCGGTGGTCCGATTTCATATCAATACTACCTACATACCCACCTTCAGCGGACTCTGCTTTGTCAGTCTGGGCGCGTATATTCGTAAGACGCTGCTACGCCTTTACGTAACGTGGCTCGACTCCAGCAACTGGACATCTGGGCTCACAGCACTGTGTCAGCCCGTCAGGTGTGTCCTCCACGCGCTCTGAAGCCACAGAGGCCAGCGTCAACGTCTTTGCTGTACACTAGGTTGTGGTTGTAGGCCTCAAATGGAATAAAATAGTCGGCCTCTGGTTTTTTCTGACTATCCTTGTCATCCAGGCTCAAGCAGGTGTTCGCGTTTCGTTTATTCCAAGAAATTCACCGGGTTCACAGAATTTCTCTCGACGACGTCAACGACAACGGTCCGTCGTCGATCTCGTTGCGCTACTACTTTCTTTCCCCTACTTACGAGTGTGAATCGAAGCCACCTGAATCTTTCGCATGTGTCACAGAAGCCATACCGGTGGAACAGTGCCGACCTCAAAGGAGCTAACATTGCGAATAACGGACCTCATTACCGATGGAAACGATAAACTGATCTGTTCAAGTTGGTGTTCTTAGTAGTGGCCGATAACCGAAAAAACCGGTAAAAAGAACGAATGGATTAATCTGTGTATGTGTGTGGGGTGTGCACATAACCATTGCAGGCAGAAGGAGTACGGAGGAAACAAGAAAGATCACGCACACTCGCACACACATACACATACACACACACACACACACACACACACACACACACACACACACACACCCATACACACATATACATACACACACATATTTACACAGGTATAAATAGTGGTGTTTGTGTGATATCTGTTTGATGGTCACCCCCGTAGCTCGTGGAGGGAGAAAGTGAAGGTGTGAGAGAGAAGGAAAGAGCGTTATCGTGCTTATACATGAGCTGCACCGGCTCAACGTGCCAACGAAAAAGAAGTGCACGAGTGTACAACGTCAAGTGAGGTGAGGCGTCAATTGAAGTGATTGTGTTGGTCATTGGTGGTTGTGCCGTGGTCCGTGATTTGTGCGCTGCTCGATCGGAGGCTGAGGAATATTATGTGAGCCCGGTGGAGCTCGCTGCCGTCCATTCGGGCCAGCCGCAGCAGCTCCAGCGGCAACGGCAGCCCCAGGCGATCAACAGCAGCCACCAACTGCCCCAGCAGCAGCAGCAACAGCAGGTTACCACACAACACATGGATAGCCGAGCGCTCAGGTACGCCTCATATTTACTATTATTGCTATCAATTAATTGCTTAGTTTAGCTACAAGGTTTAGAGGATCTAGCTGATAACGAATGGCGATCGGCGATGTATTGAAACCACTTTTAATGTCAGGGAGACCAGGATGATTTTATACTTCATTTAGCCTTCAAATAAAATACGCATCAGTCAGATTGCCTTCGCTGTCGAGATAATTAGAAAAGGGGAATATTATTTTGCTTGATGCCTCTCTATCTTAGCGGTTGAATGTTCAGTGTAAACTTATCTCTATTTTACATCATGATTAAAAATAATTAATGCTAACAGGTAATTTTATACCATTTTGCTGGGTTCCGTTGGCGTCAAGGAAATAGTCGCCGTTGTACATATCCACGCACTCATATTGGCTGTATTGAGGGATGATAGCTTGAACAAAATGGGCATATCGAATGTTTAGTCATTATCTATCCAACGTTATCGCATTCAGAACGCAATAGTTGGTCGCCCCATTTCGCCTCGGTTTTTTGGTATTTCTTGTTATAAAAGAGGAAGCTACCAGAAAGGCATTTTACGTCATGCTATCAAATCTTATCTATTTTAAGCAACTATGCTTGAAGTCAATATTAGTTTTTTTAATAGCAAACTTTTTTTACTCTAAGATAAGGTGTTTTTTTCTTTGTTTATCTTTGTTATAACTGACAAAAGGTGTGATCCATATATAGTACAGGAACAAAGTAATTGTTCCTTCTACATAAACCAGGACTGGTGATACTGTCTTTTTCAAGGTTCGTCAATCTACCGTTTAATTCGTCTACATGTCTTAGATTTTCGACCATGTTAGAGACTTTATTACACTAGCAGTAACGAGGATTTCGTAATAAATGAGATACGTCCATAAACATTTTAAGAAAGGTGAAATATCGTATTGACATGCACACATCGAATAGCGTCCCCTATTGTTGACACCCAGTAACACGGCGGAAGTGCCTACCTCTGGCAATTTTTACGCCGACCAACGACCCCTTGGCCTTTCTTTGATGGGAATCGGTATGTGGATAATGATATTGTACAACATAGAACTTCGCATGCGCAGCAATCATATTGTACGACGATATCCTCGAGGCAGGCTTAGAGGCAACCTTTTCGACCACATTCACGATTCGTGGGGTCTCAGTTCTAGACCATTGCTCGTTCAATGACCTAGAAAGAAATTGGAAATGCCAATATCACGTTAATAGTACGTATATCTGCAGTAATCATGTTTGTATCATTCATTTTGACCAAAAACAAGAAAGCCAACAAGTTCAAACGTTGCCATCTCACGGTAATCAAGGACTATATCTAAGAGCAGAACTCAAATCTGCTACTGTCAGCTTTCCATGTCTTATAAAAACGGTCAAAGACTGCTAACCCATAGAAGTCGTGTTCTTAAAAATATGCACATATACTATAATTGGCAGTATTCGCTCTTATTGTTAATTCTAATATTTTATCGCCACTGCAGTTATACTGTTTTACAGCTCAGATGAATGCAGCGGTGCACACGAGGTGTGATAATACCTTTAATTCGCTCCCATGAAAACGTTCTAATCGTAGTTTGCTATAATATAAAAAAAAAAAAGAAAAGAGAGAATAATTACTTCGATGTTGTCTAGCGCGTTTTCCGTAGGTGATCCTCGTTTTCGTAGCACGTGGTCCTGCGATACCGCGCTGGTGGTGATGACGGTATCACGGCTCGATCGCCGTCCATCGTCACCAACGCCATGATACGCCGGGTAGCCAGAAGGGGAACGGACCAATCGAATGACTAAGGGGTCTTGACTGGCGGATTGGCTGTCGTCGTTACGAACCGAACGCGTAATGCTAGACCCAGCTACGAAAGATAAATAAGTAAGAGACAGGAGACGGACGACAGTTTGATCATGCGTATATTCCTCTATCGGTCGGTCGTGCAACATGTAAGCATGTCGATGCCGTTGTCAATGCCGTCGCCAAATGTCGTTGGGCAGCAGCTGCTATCGCTGATATGGCTGTCGCTATGGTCGCGAGGACCGTCACGCCGCTCCTGCCTTGTTTCTACCCTAAAATGAGAAGTGTTTCTCATTTTCCTTTGCGTCTCTATCCGCGATTTTTGCCCTAGTTCATACATTTCCCTTCCGTTCTTCCCTATTGTTACTCTCTGATGGCCAGAATCGCTTACCGGATTTTGTGCGCCAGAACCGTGCGCGCCATCGTCATCTACTAAGATTTGTCATTTTACTGCACGGTGTCAACGGCAGTGTTTAGCTCGCTGCTTCTATGTATCTCGTCGCACACAAGTCCCTGCCATTTGCTCACTCACTAACAAGTAAATTTGATTTTCTCGCTGCTACTGCTCGTTTACATTTCACAGTCGGTCGAAGCGGTGGCGGCAAGCGTACGCGAGCAATCTCGTACGATGAAGATGATACCATGGCCTCAACGCGCTCTTGACTGCGTTAAGAACGCCACAAGTTGCAACGACAGCCAGAACAACACCAGAATATCCCGATAGAAGTTTAACGGAGGCTGTCTTTACTTTGCTGTTGTTGTGTCTGCATTAGCCATCGCAACAGGCGCAACAAGCGGCCACTCGATTGTGCCGGAGAGTGAGGCTATACTAGCTGCAGTGTCATCGTAGAGGTCTTTTCCTTTGAACCTCAGTCCAGTCTGTAAAGATCTTCGAGTTAGTGAAAAAGCAACTTTCATAATATTACGTCAAAAAGAAAGAGACGCCGATGCTGATGCGGACCGTAGCTTCCATGCAGGCTATAAGGACTACGACAATGAAAGAGAATTTTATCAAAGGCTTCCCGGAACAAAAAGCTGCCTCTTGTAAAATATATATATGGTTGATTAAGAGGCACACAATCTTCTACTGTGTAAAAAAAACTCCTAATCTATTCACAGGTGTTATGCCTTCTCGTCAGAAGAAGGCCATATGCTGTTGGTTCAGTTGTATGCGAGTATATCTTCAAGAAGATGGCTATCCGCTAGTCAAAGTAAAGAACATCTACGAAGAGCGTCCAACAAAATAACTCTAGCTGACATCATATATTTTGAATTGATTCCATTCTGTTCTCCATGTTAACATGTAGTTAGTTTGTACTGCTCTGCTACTTCTCGCGATAATGACATCAGCACATTCGTAATCAATGCTGACAGCCATATAAATGAGCAGCAAGAATACTTTTAGCTCATAAGGATTTGCTGGCGCAACTATAACCTACTCCGTGTAACGCCGTAGTGCATACTGCTGCTGTTATTAAGTGCGTCGTCCCGTTCCTAGGCCAGCGATTAGATACCTACTCCAAAATGTCTGCTTGCACTTTGGCCACTCGTCTCTAAATTAGGTAAATGTATAAACTCACGACGCAGTTGATGAATTCGTGAGCCAAAGGAAAAAGAAGACGGGAAAATGATTAGGAGGCGAAACAGTTAACCAACTGTACTATAGTGTAGCCTGGAATTTTCTATTGTCCTGTTTGTTTGTCTTGTAATCTTGTCGTGTTTTTAACGAGCGTCGTCTAAATCGAACTCGCTCTGACCGATCATCTTTACGTACACTCGGTCCGTTTATTAACCAGCCAGTCGGATAAAGAGATTTAAGGACGGATGGATGTATACTTCTCTTCTGTGGCTGTTGTCATGTATTTGCCATATGTACTACGTATACTGCTCTTGTGTATGGGTAAACGACGATGGATCCGTCAAGGCAATGTCGCCTAGATCGCAAGAGGAATCAGGGAAGCAACTGTCGGTAGTAGCTAACTAGTAACACTGATGGCATCGTCGTGTTTTTTTGTGTTATACAGAGGAAATATATTGGCTTGAAGTAAAATTATAAGCTGACTCGATCTTGTTGTACTTTCACCCTCCGTTCCAAGAAATTTCTGTCCGCTTCGGTGGCAGTGGGCTAATGGAAACCCATGGAAATCTATCTAGAGAGCAATTGACAATGGAGTAACATTCTAGGGGATGACCTTTAACCCCTTGTTTTTTTCTGATCTTTTTCCATGATGGTCCATGGTGATGTGGAATTTGCTGCCAGCTTCCGTCTACTAACTTAAGTAAAAAGCTAACTCCTGATAGGGAGAGAGAGGTTGTCAGCGGACACGTTTGCGGGGTGGGGTCGAGTCGGCAGCGGTGGCGGTTGACCAGATCCTATAAGGTATTTGGCTATAGTCATTTGTGTGTTACTTATAGCTGATGCACCTGTATGTGACGCGCAACAGGAGAGGGGAACAGCTGGACGCGCAGGCAGACACGCACGTAAAGATAGACGCAGAGACGCTGACTACCTATTGGACCATGTTACCGCAGACTATATGTGGAGTGATGAGTGATGAGCGAGCCAGTAGGTACCCTGCTATATGAAGCTTACAGTCGGATAGACTTGTTTGCCTTGGTGCAAATAGACACTGAAATAATGCGCATAATAATTAGGCAATTATATGCGCGCTCGCCTGCTTGTGTAGACCAGAAAAGGTAAGCTGGAGAGCAGACAGCTCCCTACGCCAGCCCGTGCAGCAGCGGCTCAGTGGAGGGCTGTTGAAAACCTGGTTGACTGACGACGTCATAAATACGTCAAATATATCTTCAGGAGCTTCCCACAAGCAATGTGAGAAGCTCCTGAAGAAGAAGAAGAAACCATGCAAACGGAGGTGGGATACTCGAGACGTTAATATGCTCCTAGGTCCAGTTGTTATGTACGCCTGTACAATAAGTACCGCGTACGGATAATGTAAAAGATTGTTAATAGAATGACAAAACCAAATATGAAATATTAACAAATTAACCGAATCCTTCGAACACGCTACGCGTGCTAGACAGCCTAAGTAAGAGAGGAGCGGATAAAGAAAGTGATCATGACGACGACGACGACGACGACGATTACGTAAATAGCGATTCCCATCCCTAAGGATCTTCATTCGTCCATCGCTTTCGTTGTCTCTCACAACAGCAGCGTCAGCAAATTCCCGTCGTTTTTTTTCTG